TAATCTCGTTCTCCGATAAGTATGCATCGCGTGCAAGTGTCTTGTGCTGGTTGTCGGGCTGCGCAAGTTCTCTCTACTTTGCTCCTGTCGGACTAGAGTCAGATATCCACGTTTCTCAAAGTAGATATCGTGGATCACAAATTAATAAGACAAGCATTCTAGACATCTATTTAATAGGTGGTAGGCAATAGTCTTAAGGGGTGCAGTGCGCTCTCAAGGATTTAAAAGGTCGCAACATATCTTGGACTGCGCTTATCACTGCATCTGCGGTCGCACACCATGTCATCGGACTGACTTTGCATCACAGTCACCAGACTTGACGGTGAGAGGCGAACCTGTGTCTATCTGATTAGCATTAGAATTCATATTTACTATGTGATGGTGGCTGCGCTGGGTGCAACACTGCTTGTCTTTTATCGAATGTTACGTTGATTCTTATATTCGGAGAATTATTAACTGTAGAGAGCAAGGGAGTGTGAACATCCCTTCGGGTGGGGTGTCTGTGGGATTAGCTCAGTTTGAGTGAAGGCAGTTCTACACTGCCGTGCAACTCGACAGCGGAGGCTTTCATAAGGTGCCATTTCAAGTGGGCTTGGTAAGCTGGAAACTGTTGATTGGTGAGGAGGGGCGAAGCTCTTTATAAGAGATTTATTTGTGCATGGCTTGCCAGTCTTTCCTCCAAGAAGAAGGAAAAGGTCGTGTACTGACATAGTCCTCGGGTCGAGACGTGGGGTTCTGCGGAGAAAGCTAGTTTGATTTGGATAGTCGTTGAACATATACGGTATTTTCACACACCTTTGCATAGTGAATAGCCTGGTCCTTGAGTAGGTTCGGATGAATTAAAGACGCCGCATAGTATACGCTTCGAATCAGGGGAGAGAACATCATCTTAGCTACACGTGTAATGCGGGTCACAGATCTCATCACAGTGAGGTGATAGCTTGTGGGTCGAATCGAATCAGCGGATGGGAGTGCTGCTATCGGAAGACAATGAGCAATACTTCGTCAGTTTAGGGTCGACGAGATCACGCGCAAATGGCATGTGTGCCTTGGCATTGATCTCGAGGAAAGGCTATAGCAATATGCCGGTCGTTACCGTGCTGGGGCTATGTCACTCGGGGATTCCATCACGGATAGGACCAACGCTGCAAATGGAGTTCCGTCCTTGGGGTTCGCACGTGATGCTCTGGCTTCACCAAACTGACGAGGCGCTCGGCATCTAGCAACAAAAAATTGTAAGGGGTCGTTTTTATTCCGTGGGGCCACCAGAACAAAACTCTGGTCATGATAGGGCGTACGTTGCCCATTCGGCGCGGATGAGAGGTGTAGCCTGAGTGATGAGATGTCATACAAGGAAGAAGGAAAACAAGGACTTCGTGTCTCTTGTGCTCGAAGTCCGCAAACACAGGAATCCACAACGTGGTCTTGGGCAGAAAATGAAGCGCAGGAATCAAGAAGGTGGTTGGAGTTCGAGGGGGGCTCTTTGACGGATGTCATCTGTAAGGAGACTGAACGTTCAGAAGTAGAGGTGCAGGAGTCTAGATACGTGTCTGGGCTTCCGCTGAAGGTCATTCTTTGTCTTGTCATAAGAGACTGAATACGGAGACTGGAGAAGTCAGGAGGTGGCAGTACGGATCCTGGAGAGGAATGACCTCGCAGACTGCAAACGCGTTCATATCACGGACAGTGCAGAAATATTAGAAAGTTTAGGGCGTGATACCTGATAATTCATAAGAGTTAATGTTCGCTTCTCAGAAAGCAAGTCTGTCGTGTATACCGACGTTAGCGCTTGACCAGGCGATACTCTAAGGTCGGAGACTCAGTAATCCTTGATCGACTCTCAAGGGCGTCATCGCACGATGAATTTGCTCAATTCAGATCCTTTTTCTGACGCGTGAAAATTTTGTACTTTCAAACCGCCTACTTATGTGAGCCCGGATTTCATTATTAGAGCGCATATGGGCAGATAGGTGGAGATCGCCAATCTTCAAGAGCAGAAACAACTGCACGCGTGTGTGGCAAATCATTGGGATCGGGTAATTTCTTGCTAATGTGTGCTTGGTTACTGGTTCTCCGAGGCATGAGCAGATGTACCTATTCAGTCTGTGAGAGCAACACGCGTGTTCCTAATAGGTGTGTGGTGAAACGGATTTCATGGGAATCGCACACTGCAATGCGCTGTCGTACTCGGTAGAATCGGAGTGTCTCCGGAACACTTTAGGGCGGAGCTGGGAGTCCAGACAATCTTCAATTTCTTCTTTGTATAGTATGAGGGCTCGAGAGGTGCACAAAGGAGGCACTGACGTTCTGAGGGTCTAAGTGGCGTTTCAAGGGTTAGTATATCTGAGGATAAAGGTCCTTTTCAGGCTTTTGTCGGGGTGATTATCAGCCTTATGCCTAGGAACTACGTACTCAATAGGTGGGTCGTTAGGGTAGGTCCCGTCGCCCTTGGGGCAAACTCCGCAAACGCCTGTGAATTGAAACTTCTGGGAGTCAACAGAGACTAGCCTGTCACCCCGCGTAGACTCATCCATGCGCAACTTGACGAATATTGGAAGTGATTCGTTCAGCCTGCGGATTTCGCAATGCTGGTTTACGGTATGTTGACGTTGAGTCCATTTCAGACAGAACTGTATCTTGCCTGGGTGGGGATCGGTTTTTCATGGGTGTAGGTCTTCCTAAGGGAGGGTTTGCATAGAGGGCTTCGTGGAATGCCTTGTCTGTTCTGCGCTAATGATTTTCTGTGTTTATGGGAGACAATGGGGAGGAGGGGGGAGGGCACTTAGAGCTATGCAAGAATGTTGATTACGGATAGTTACTTGCTCGCGAGTGGTCGTAGTGGATAGACTGTATTAAACTAAACGCTTCGATCACGGAGATATGCCTGCGTTCCGGCCTTGTAATCTCTTTCTTTCAGGAAGCCAATGAGCGTGTGATTTGTAGCAGGTGGGGGGCTCTGTGTGCGATCAGATCCATGAAAAAATAGCAGGTGGCAGTTGGGTGTCTGACCCCAACAGGCTAACCAAGAACTCGTAGTGGTGCCGTAGAGGTATGAGGAGCTGTCGTTGCACCACATCAGCTTCCTGTTACCTTTACCCTGATAGTATCACGATCTCAAATCATCTTCGAAACACAGAATAATCAGAAAGCTGGTCAAACAAGTCGTCAATGCCGGGCAAAGGATACTTGGTTCTTGAATCGTGGACCTTATTCAATCGTCTGTAGTCAAACAGCAGGAGGACATGACGGATGTGGTTGGCCGTCCGTGTTTCGTTCACAAACAAACAGTGGCTCCCGCAAGGGAGAAACAGCTAGGACGAGGGCAATCCTTTATTCACCACACTCCTGAAGGGTGAGAGTTTGCAACTCAGAGAAGTGGCTCGTGCCAGGTTGCTGTAGAGACTTTTTGATATCGGGAGCCTGTCCCAGAAAAACATCGATTAGAGATCTGATGGTGTGGTTCTAGTGGAGTACAACCAAGCCAACTCTCAGAAGAATTACATCAGGGCAAACTCTCGGTACCACGGGGATGATCAGAAGAGAACGCAACGTCCAAGGTGCATATCCGCAGGCCGACGCCAAAAGATATGGGAGCAACCCTTCTTCCACATTGCTTTCCTCGCGACTTCCAAACCCAGCAAATCAGGGCAAGCAGAGAACACTCGTAAGCCTTTGGAATACACATTACGTCTCCTGACATATAGTAAAGCTCAGCTTGCTTCATTCAAACTGCAATGCTGAGCCTATGACAGAGCTTAGCCAACTACATTGCCCAAAAGTGCAGCATCGTAGAGCAAAGTCGAGGCAACAGGAACCGAGAACCGGATTTCCACTTGCTTGGAGGAACCATGCTTTTGCAACCTCACAAAGAACACAACGTTCCGAGGCAGATCGAATTAGTCTAGCGCGGCCAAAGATCACAGAAGAAAGAGGAAAGCGACCAGGGGGACAAGGCGATCAGAAGACATCCAAATACCTGCGATGAAAAATGATGTGACTGGCTCGAGAAATCAACAAAAATATGACGGGAGCTGATCAGGAAATTAAATCGTACTTTTTTTTGTCACACATTTGGAGCATCTCGAGCCTCCATGTTGACTCAGGACTATGCGGACTTGGGCCTGAAGCTAGAGCTGGAGGCTTGAAGCGAATAGAACTAGGCTCGGCTCGTCGTGGTGACTAGGACAGTGGGAGGTCGGTCCTCCGTGGTCAGAAACTGCAAACGACCACTCTACCAAAAAATCCCTCAGTCACAGGGTGGAGGAACGAGTGCCCGGGTCTTCGCTGGCTGAACCCGACAAGTCTAAATAGAACTCGTCAGATCAAAAATCAGATCGGTCGATCAAGATTAGCCTGTAGAGATCTACCAATCCGATGTCCTGGCTGAAACTATCTGAAGCACTGACAATCATCCTGTAACACGTGCCAAAATGCCTGCGTCCAAACTGCTGGCCACACAGGTGCCCACTGACAGAGTCGCAGAACTGGTTCGTACTGGTAGCAGGTCACCAGAAAATCGCTGACTGTCCCACTCCTCCGGAGTCTCTAACCAGAGAAATCTCCTCTTCTAGAGGAACGCTACCAGAAGGCATCACCCCCTAAACCCTTCCTACTCCAGTCCCACCGCTGTGTGATGGTGGAGCCATCAGATCGTCTCTATCAGACATTCTCTCCACAAGCTCAAAGAAATAGAAATGTGAAAGGGTACAGGGGGTGCGCTCAGCTATTCGTAGTCCCTCAAAATCGCAGCGGACTTCGCAGCAGCAAGTACTCACCAGCTGCGGAGCAATATGGGAGTGAAAGAAGTAACTCTGCCTCATACTGCGAGTCAGTCTTGCTCGCCCTGAACACAGCCTCGAGGAATCTCTCTTGCACTGCTGCCACGGCCAGATGGGGGAAACAAACGCAATCTCGGAATGCCTCAGTGAACTCCTTCTTAAGTCCATAAGAGAGTTCAATCTGCCTGAAACGGTGACCTCCGTCGGCCTACCCACCAGTGCCTAGGCTTCCGGCCATCCAACAGAACTGTCACGGTGAACTTTCTGTTGACCCGGATAGCTGCATGCCGTCCAAAGTCTTTTTCTAACTGCCTCAGCTGCTCTGGGCTCAACGAGCGCCTCAAACTCGGGCTTCGATCGGTCAGAAATATCTGAAATGTTATCAGATCCGTCAGACGAACAGTTAGAGGGGCTCTAGCAGTGAGTTCAGATCATCATCTCGGATCGCTGGAGCGAACAACGAGTACCGTGGGAAAGGCGTATGCTGCGACCAACACTTGGGGCTGACTACGCACTAGGTGTGCCTGGACGTGTCCTGGGGGCTGGAGGGCCGGGTGGGGGGGGGGGGCGGGGGGCTGTCTGTCGGGGGGGGTGCTGGCGAGGATCCATCGACATCTGAAAATTCAAAATGCTAAAAGCTAGATCAATAGAAAAGTGAACACAATAAAAACGTCGCGGAACAGAGATCAAAACTACCGGGGCCAGAGGGGGACAGAGCTCCAGATCACTGGTCTGATACGGCGGTTTGTCTACAGGAGGCCGAGGGAGATGGTGTCCAGGAAACCGGCATTGCGTCTGATACGCGATAAGAAAGGGCCTTGTGCACGGAGCGGCAAGGCCGAGGGCCGGAGGACGGATCCCGGCTCGCGGGTGGGTCCGGGGGGGGCTGAAGGCAATGCAGGAGCTGGACGGGTAGGAGAGCTGATGGTCGCAGGATCGTGGCTTTGGAGGCTGGTATTTGTTTTCAAGAAGAACTGTGTGGTACTGTTGTGTCGCAAAGCGGGAGAAGGGGGAGGGACGAGGAAAAAGGCAGAGGGCGCCGTCGCAGGGAGCGGGCACGGGACCTTGGAGGGTGGGGGGGGCAAGGGGGGAGGGGGGTGGGAGAAGGGGGGGGGGAGGGGCTATAGGGGGAGGGCGAGGAGGGGAGGGCGGAGAAGCGGCAAGATGCGGCAGGGGCGCGGGGACAGGGATCATCTGTCATTGTTTGGCGGGTTCTTCAGAAAAGAATCATGTATAAATAGCAGGCTGCTGTGGCGTGGTTAGACAGAAAGAAAAAAACAGAGGACAGGAAAAGCATTGACTGTGCGAGGGGAGGAGAGGGGATCACAAGGGGGGAGAGAATACGCTATAGCGGAGCAGGAGCTGGTGAAGCGGTCTATTGGGCTGGACTTGGGCGATTTCCCCTGGTCTCGAGAATGGAAGAAGCACGGCAAAATAAGGATGAGCGCTACAGACGAGTGCGGTCGATCGGCAAGACACGAGACCTCCGAAGTCAAAATGCTGCGAGAGTCGGTGGACACTGGTGGGGAGGGGGGTGGGGCATTGGACAGGGAATCCAAACAGAATTGGGGGAACATAAATCGTGGAGTGGAATTCGAGAGGTGGGGAGTGCAGGGAGGATAGGGGGTCAGGGATCAGTACCGTAGGGGAGGGTGCGATGAAGTCGAAAGTAGAGAGCAGAGCAGAGAGTGCAGGGTCACAGGGCATGAGGACAGGACAGGAGGAGGGGGTGGGAGGAAAAGAGGAATTAGCATCAGATCGTGGATCGAGAACAGGATCAAAGACGAGTAACGAGGAGGGGCGTGTGCAAGGAGGAGTGCGGGGGAGTGCGGGGAAATGGCGAGTATCGATACACGAGATGGCGGGGAAAGTCAGGGTTACGGTAGGGGTCATAGGGGGATGGGGGAAAATGCGGGAAAAGTCATATGGTGCCATGTGTGCAGGAAAAGGGTGCAAAGAGACAGGGGGGAGGGGGGGGGGGGCGGGGGAGGGGGGGAAGGGGATTGGCCCGTGGTGGACACTGGGGGGACGAGAATCTCAGACGGATTCTGCCCCGTTGTGCGTCCGCTATCGCCGGAAACACTGGACGAGTGGGGGGGGTGGGTGGAGGGGTGGTGGCGGTGGGGTTGTGGGGGGAGGGTGGTGTAGGGGCGTGGGGGGGGAGGTGGGGGTGGTGGGGATCGTCGGTCGGCGGGGGGGGGGTGGGAGGGCGGAGGGGGGGGGAGTGTGGGGATTAGGTGCTGGGTGGTGGTAAGGGGGGAAGAGTAGGGGTCTCCGCTGGCCGCGGCAGGTGATCGGCAGGTCGGGCGTATAGGGGGGGTGGGGGGGATGTGGTTACGGGGGGTGGCGGGGCGGTGGGGTGGGGAGGGGTAGAGGGGAGAAGAGTGAAAGGGTCGGGGGGGTGGGGGGAGGGGATGTTGGTGAGGGATTGCGCGGGGCCGGGGAGCTGGTGGTCGGGCCTGGGAGGTGGGGCGCATGGGTGCGCCGGGGATGGATCGACATTCGTGGTGGGGGGTGGGGATAGATGTGGCGTGGGGGGGGGTTGGGTGGCTGCGGGCTCCGCTGGGTGTTGGCGCGGGGGGGGTTCTGCGCGGGCCCAGTTCGCGTGGATGTCGACCGCGCCGTTTATGGGGGAGTGCTTGTTGCTTGTGTGTCCCGGTGGGTTGGGGGGAGGGGTGGCCGCGGGGTGCGCTGGGTCGCCGGCATGTTTAAGGGGTGGTGGGGCTGGTGGATGTGGGGTCCGTCTCGCCGTGGGGTCGTTGCCTATTCATTCTTGTGCTGGGTCGGTTCTTCTGTCCCTGGATTGTGGGTCTGGGTCGGGGGTGTGGGGACGGTGTGTTAGTGGGATGATGGTGGGTGATTCCTTGGTTTGTCGTGTCGGGAGGGGTCTGGTCTTCTAGGTATCCGGTGGCTGGTCGCTATCTGTCTTGGTCGGACTTGCTTGGTACTGGTGGAGTGGCGTGCTTGGTCGGCGCGGGTGTCTTCCCCCGCGTCGGCGGTGTGGGGTGGGGCGAGGGTCTTCGTGGAGGGTCTGGGTAGGTGGGTGTTCTGGGGATCGTTGGTGTCTGGTCCCGGGGGCCCCCGCTGGTCCCGGCCCGGCCCTGGCGGGCCGCTGCGCCTGGGCCGGCGCTCGGCCGCCGGCTGTCCCCTGGCGCGGTGTGGTACCCCCGCGGCACCTCTTCTGGGGTCTCGTCTTCCTGTTGGGCCCCAGCCTGGTGGTGGTGCGTGTGCCGCGCGGGTCGCCCCGGCGGGCGGCGTATGCCGCCCTAGGTGCGGTCTGTGTCCCTCGCCGGCGCGGGCCGCTTGTGGTGCCCTGTCGCCCTGGTCTGTGCTTTCTTCTCTGGTGGGTCTTCTGGTTCTACGGGATTGGGTTCTGTCTGTGTGCTTTCCTGTCTTCGTTCTTCTGTCTTTGGGTCTGCTTCTCTTCTTGTGTCTTAGGGTTTTGCTGGTCTACCTGTTCTCTGC